GCGGTGATTGGGTGTCATCACGGGGCTCGCTTTCCCCATTGGTCGTGCTTACGGGGCTCGCTTCCCCATTGGTCGTGCTCACGAGGTGCCGGGAGCAGTCGCGGCTCCCGAGGCTCTGGGTTCAGCCCGCCTTTTCCATCCGCGCAAGGCACGCGGGCGGTTGCACCAGCCGCTCGTCCCGCGTGGCGGAGCGCCCGGCGGGGATCGTGGGCCGCAGGGAGAGGCCGCTCGGGCCCCAGTGAAGGGGTCCGGTCCCCCACACCAACCCGGCCTCCGAGCCCCTGTGTCGTATGACAACGTGCGCATCAGTGACTTCCCATCCATCAGCCTCTCCAACCAGCGGCGATGTGCGTGTGCGTGCGTGCGCGTGCGTGCGTGTGAGACCTCCAGAACAAGCAGTCGTTCGTGCATTCATTCACACACAGCCGGCACCAGACACGACAGTGGCTGGAACACCCGGGGGGGGGGGGAGGATGGCTGAGTGGACGGGACAGCACCACGTCTGAAATGCCGCCACTCTGGATCATGAGTTCGAGGCCAACGGGGTCCATACGGCAAGATCCTGGCCCAAAAAGAAAGTCTAGAAACACAAAGCAAAAAAGGTTCTTTGTACTTATGACCCAGCCCCCAGCCCGAGCCCCGCGCTGAAACCTCCCGGGAGGCAGCGCCCGCGTGCACACGCGTGGAGTTTGGAAAGGTGAGGACCCGTGAGCGGGAACGCGAGACGGGGCGAGGCTGCAGCCCCAGCCGCAGGAACGTGACCCCCCCCCCGACAAGGTGGGCACAGGGCCAGAGCAGACGGGCGCTAACCTCCCCGCACAAGTTCCCTTCTCGAAAGAACTCCAGCAGAGGCCCCCAAGGGTGCTGAACCGGAGACGCCCTCCTCCCCTCTCCTGCAAGACGGGGTCCTTTGAGATCTGGATGTGATTCTGCTTTCTGCTGCACAATTGAACCCCATCTCTATTACTATGAAAGTGCTTTCTCAGGTCTGGGTATGCTGGCGAGGTGTACTGGAGAGCATAACACCAGCCGCAGCCGTCAGGCAACCCAGCCGGGGAAGGAAGGCTGTCCAAAATGCCTTTGGGGATTGGGGCTGTGTTTGCAGGCTGTGGTTACATGGGTGGAACAGAGGCCTGAAAGTGAAAGTGTTGCTTTGGGTTTGGAAGTTGGAGGGCGACGTTTCCAGAAAAGCCTGAAGTGAATAAAGTCACTGTCTTCTTTGGTTACTTCATTTAGAAAATTGTAGCAGGTGTCCAGTTTCTCACACTAGCTACTCAGGGTAATCCTAGCTACCTAGGAGGGTGAGAACTGGAGGATCACTGTTCAAGGCCAGCCTGAGTAGAAAAATTCACTAGTCTCCATCTCCAAAATAAACCAGCAAAAATCAGAACTGGAGGTGTGGTTCATATGGTAGAATACCAAGCATGAAACCCTGAGTTCAAACTCCAGATTCAAAGAAAGAAGGGGGGGAGGAGAGAAAGAAGGGAAGGAAAGAAGGACGGATGGGAAATTACAATGAATGGAGAGTTTGATTCTCAGCCCATAAGCTGTAGTATGTAAAGATTGTGGTACATCTAGTATTTTATATAATAATTCACACACACACACACACACACACACACACACAGCTACTAATATACTGGGAGCAGTAAGAGTTGACCTTCATCCTTAGAGTTTTGAACCTGAGGAATTTACATTGTTCCAGGGCGTAGTTAAGAAAAAGGGATTGCACACCCATCTGGTCCTCTGTCCTCAGAGAACATGGCAGAGTTATCTCCATTGTCCAGTTCTTGAGGGCTGCCATCCTTGTCTCTAGAGAGACAAAGAGTTATCATGGGATGGGACAGAGGTGTCCACCATCTCATTGGCTAAGACATGGCCTGTAGCCACTCCACAGCCTGGGGTCCTGCTGAGAAGCTGGTCACACGTGCCCTCTACCTCAGAACCCACTGATCATCCAGCCCAATACAATTCTGTGTGTGTGTGTGTGTGTGTGTGTGTGTGCATGCTAGTCCTGGGGCTAGGTGCTGTCTCTAAGCTTTGGAACTCAAGGCTAGCACTCTACCGCTTGAACCACAGCTCCACTTCCAGCTTTTGGTGCTTAATTGGAGATGAGTCTCACTGACACTGACTTTCCTGCCCTGGCTGTCTTTGAACCATGATCTTCAGATCTCAGCCTCTTGAGTAGCTAGAATTACAGGCATGAGCCTGGTTGATCTCTTTTTATCATAGAGAAAATCTCTTTCATTGTATCTTCTTCAAGATGTACCCACAAGACCCCTTAGACCACCAACACATCTAAAGGCCACTCTGGGATAAGAAAGATAGGTAGAGACTGTGGTAAACTGAGTGCACATGCCTATGTGTGGCAGAGATCATGGGACTACCATATATTTGTGTTCCCACAATGCACGCAATAGAATCATCATCCTGAAGTGGCCGCCCAGGCTGGTTTGGTATATCCCAGCAACCCCTGCTCCCTGGCAGCCATGTGTCTGGATTCCACCAATAGGATGTGAGCGGACGGTAGGTTTGACACTTTCAAGACAACATGGTGGAGACATCAATGTGTTCTTCCATGGCCTTTTTATTTTCCATTCTGAAAATGGCTGCTTGAAAACAGTAAGGTAGAAAATTTGAGTCTCCCAACGGCCTTCTTGGTCTTATGCCTCTGACATCTGAAAGGCTATGTTTTTCAGCAGCTGCTGTTATTCTAATTGACCCACTGCTCTAAATCCAAGGAAAGTTCCAATTCAGCTGATTGCTGCCAGGTAGAAGAGAGATTGCGAGAACACATTTTGAAAGAAAAACCAAAACCCTGGGCTTTTATGTGAGGTCTCCCAATTATTACACAACTGTAGACATAAGCTTCAGACAAGCACTGTACAGATCAATATTATGAGAGGTGCTGGATGGTTTATTTACAGGGTTAATGGTCACTGGCTTTCCTAAGAGCTCTAGTACAGTGCTTTGCATGCTAGTGCTCACATAGGAGCTTGTGCTGCTAACTGCTTAAAGAAAGGAAAGGAAAGGCGGGGTGCTGGTGGCTCTCACCTGTAATTGTAGCTACTCAGGAGACTGAGATCTGAGGATCTCAGCTCAAAGTCACCCAGGCAGGAAAATCCATGAGACTTTTATCTCCAATTAACCACCAGAAAACCGAAAGTGGATCTGTGACTCAAAGTAGTAGAGCTCTAGCAAATGAGCTCAGGGACAGTGCCCAGGCCCTAAGTTCAAGCCCATTGACCAACAACAACAACAATCAATCAATAAAAAATAATAAATAAAGGAAGGAAAGGAGGGAGGGAAGTTAGGAAGGAAGGAAGGAGGGAAGGAAGGAAGGAAGCAAGGAAGCAAGGAAGGGAAGCAGAAAAGGAAAACCATTGGAGGAAATAAAACATTCTCAAAGTATTATTCTGTCACCTTTGTCTACTGGGCAGTATAAATGCATGAAGACAGCTAGTCCAGGAAGCCCCTGCATTTCAGCGGGGCCCTCCTCCTTCTAGAGTCTGATTTAGATCTTAGAAAGGAGCTTCTTTATAAGATACATATCTTATGAAAAGGCAGGATTTTAATTTTCAAAAGCTATGATGCACTGATTATTAAACACTTAGTACACAGGAGAAAGGTAGGCTCTCCTGCACTTCTTCTGAGGTTTGTCTATCCAGGTAAGCAACGAACAAGAAGGGTAGGCAATTCAAGCAGGGAGGGAAACTGATTTGGAGTGAAACCAGATTATTTCTGCTTCCCTTTCTGTAGTTGGAGACAGAGATTCAGTTTTGTCATCTGTATTCCTGGAGAAAATGAGGGAGAGGAGTGTACTTAACAAAGAGAAACAAAAAGTCCAATTCTTTATATTCTATTACATGTGTGTGTGTGTGTGTGTGTGTGTGTGTGTGTGTGTGTGCACTTGTGCCAGTACTGAAGCTTGAACTCATAGCCTGAGTGCTGTCCCTTAGCATTTTTGCTCAAGACTGGTGCTCTACCACTTTAAACACAACTCTACTTTGGCTTTTTTGCTGGTTAAATTGGAGAAAAAAAGTCTCCCAGACTTTCCTGCCCAGGCTGGCTTTGACCCAAGATCCTGATATCTCAAGATATCTCAGCCTCTTGAATAGGTAGAATTATAGGTGTGTGCCATTTTTATTCCAGTCCCTACAGACAAAACCTTCTCTCCTGCTCATGTTACTAAGATTACTTTATTTTTTTACTAAGTTTACTATTTTTTATTGTGACAAACCTACCTAACATAAAGTTTACCATGTTAACCTTATTTTTTTTCCAGTAAAATTCAGTGGTATCAAGTTCCTTTACATTATTGTGTGACTGTCTCTACCATCCTTCTTCAGGACTTTTTTATCAGCCCCTATCAAAACCATATCCACTAAACAATAATTCCCTGTGCCTCCTGCCTTCCCATTCTGCTGTGTGTTGGTGAGCTCACGGCCTAAGTGGAGTTACAGAACTTGTCCTTTTATGACTGGTTTGTTTTGCTTAGCATGGTATCTTCCAGGATTACCTGTTCTGCTTTATTTTTTTTTAACCCATTGGTATAGAGAAGCATTGAGGGCAGATTCTATATAAATAAAGTACTTAATAACTGCTACCAATTTAAAAAATTGTCTACAGACCAATGGGAAAAATACACAGGGCCCGCCTCTTGCATGCTGAAATAAATAAATAAATAAAATATCTTGATGTGGGACAAAGCATGACTTTTTTAAACATGAGAGTCTACTTTTCTACTTTTTGTTATTTATCTATTTTTAAGATAGGGTCTGACCAAGTAGCTCAGGCCAGCCTCAAATTCCTAATCCTCCTACATCAGCCTAGCGCGTGTCTTGTTTAGAAAGGAGCTAACTCCTGGCACTCCCTCTGTAGCGTAATGTTGACGCATCGGAATTCTCCACTCTAATCTACCATCTTGGCCGTGGATATTCACGTCTGGTGGATCAGCACAGGTCAGCAGAGCTACCTCACCTGAGGGTCCCACATGACAACAGGTCATAGAGCTCTTCTCTTTTGTAATCAGCTGGGCAAAGTCTACCAGAGCTTCTTACAGACAACCAGCCATCCCCCTTTGCTTTGGAAAGACTTTGCTGAGTTAATGATCTGCCTGTTGTTTCTATCTTTCCTTCTCTTTATGGAGCCAGAGAAAAGACTAAGGCAAAAGATGAAGGGAGGGCAAATCCCCACCTAACGGGGCCTAAAAAACGCCTGCTTCGTCCCCAATCAAGTCTCTATTCCAACGGACCCCCAAGCACGCTGCAGCGCAGGAAAACAGTGGCAGTTGTTGCATTGATTGCTTAAGTGTGGTACCGCAGGCAGCACAGAGTAATTAAGAAAAGGAATAAGAAAAGCTGCCAGGAGCAAGAGGCATTGTGGAGATGAGATCGGGGGAGGCAAGGTGGAGTGAGGCTGGAGGGCGGATGGGAAAGGCCAGCCACACGTGTGTGGCTCACTGCCGTGGCGCTGTGAAATCAAGTGTTGACTTTGTGAGTGTGTATGCGTGTGCACACGTGCATGCTGAGGATTGAACTCAGGATGCTCGTGCTTTCACTGAGCTTTTCCTCTCAAGACTGGTGCACTGTCACGTGAACCGCAGCTTCACTCCTGGGTTTTTGATAGCTCATGGGAAATAAGAGTTTCACACATTTTTCTTCTCCAGCTGGCTTTGAACTGTGATCCTCAGATCTCAGCCTCCTGAGTAACTAGGATAATAGGCGTGAGCCACCAGCGCCCCATATCTTTTGACTGGTATGGCAATAGGCTCTGTGTGAAATACCACATGAAAATAAAAGCTGCTTCCCCTCACCTCCCTAATAAAACATCTCCAATCACACACATCCCAAGAGAACATCGATCCCCCTATGAAAACATGAAAATAAAATTTAAAAAACCCTACCCAAATTTAAACTATCACTCATCTTCTCCATGCATTCAGATTTGAGCATTCAACTTGCATTTGCTTATTGAAACAAAGACAATTCAAGTCTTCTGACATCAGAGACCAAAACAGATTTCATTATTAATAGCCTGCACTATTGATAACTAGCTCGGGCCTCATTCAGCCATGTTCCAAGGGGGTTTTCCCTTTTTTTAATTCTCATATTGATCTGCTCCTACTCTTATCTCCATCTTGTCTACTTCCTGTTCACTAGCTTAGCTGAGCTCCCATAATCTCTTGTAGATTCCTAAGCTTGTGTTTTTGCATTTACTTCACCCTCTCAATATTCATTCATCCAAACAACAACCACAGCCCACTTCTCCAAACACACATCAAGCAGATCACACAACTCTACTGTTAAAGCACTCCGGTGGCTTCCAAACACTCGCGTAACAACCAGACTTCTCACAGACGCCCCCATCCCCCACCCTGCCCACCTCTTGGCTCAACCTTTAGCTAACTCTCCCATGATGTACCAGTCTCTGAAACATTTCCTCTTTATTGTCTTTATTACTTCATTCGCATGTAGATATTTGGTTCATATGTGTATCCACAGTATTAAGCGTATCAGGAACTTAATCATTGTTTTTAATTTTGTTTTGATTTGCTTGTTGAGGCTTCAATTAAAGGCCTTATGCTCTTAGATTTTTTTTTCTCAAGTCTGGTGCTGTATCACTTGAGCCACCTCTCCATTTTTTTGCTGGTTAAGTAGAGGTAAGGATCTCTTAGCTTTATCTACCTCTTAGATTACCTACCCTGCTTGGCTTTGAATGAGGATCCTTAGATCTCAACCTTCTTGAGTAGCTAGGATTACAGTGTGTATCACCAGTGTGTGCTGATTATTATTATTTTTTGGTTGGTCGTGGGGTTTGAACTCTGGGCCTGAATGCTGTCCCTCAGCTCTTCAGCTCAAGATTAGCACTCTACCACTTGAGCCACAGAGCCACTTCCAGTTTTCTGAGTGGTTCATTGGAGATACGAGTCACATAGACTTTCCTGCTTTCCTGCCCAGGCTGGCTTTGAAACGCAGTCCTCAGATCTCAGCCTCTTGAGTAGCTAGGATTACAGGCGTGAGCCACCGGTGCCAGGCTGGTGAATATTTTTAAGTGAATATATAGACCAGGAAGGAGGAAATAATATTTTAAGAGCAGCTAAGATTCCAACCAAAGGCTTTGTGCATGCTACCTCTTAGCTAGACCCACCGTCCTTTATTTTAATTTTTATTTTATTTTTCTTAGGAAATAAAAGAATATGCTTTCCGTCTTTATTGCTGGGGAAAATTATGAGTTTTCATTATTTCTTCAGAATTTCTTATAGGGAATATTTAAAACTTAATAGTCATCTTATAAAAAGTTGGTTATGGTCAGATGCCCGTGGCCCATGCCTATAATCCTAGTTACTCAGGAGGCTGACTCTGAAGCCAATCCAGACAGCAAAGTCTGTGTCTACCAAAAAGCCAAAAGTGGAGCTGTGGCTGTAGTGGTAGAGCACTAGCCTTGAGCACAAAGAAGGTCAGGGACAGCGCCCAGGCCCTGGGCTCAAGCCCTAGGACTGGCCACCTGCAAATAAAGCTGGTTATTTTTAAAAGCTCAAAGTGAGGATGGGGGTAAAACAGCCAGGACGCCCTGAGAGCGTGCGGTTCAGCTCTGAAGGCTCGAAGAGCTGGCGTCTGCAAGGCCTTTTCTTCCCGTAGGCTGAGTCTAAATGGTTCACTGGGTACTATTGGGCTTGCAGTCCTGTGGGGGATTTCCAAGGAATGTACTTCTATTCGACTGGCACTAGATCCAGACACCATTCTCTGAATTCGCATGACAAGCCAGCAATGCTCACAACGAAAGTCTACAAGCCCTCGTGGAATGGCTGAGCCCTGTGTACCAGGAGAAGATGTAGAGAGGCCATGAAAGAGGCCATGGACGTTTGTTTCCCAAACTCACAGAGCTACAGGGATCTTGGAATGTCACCTAGAATCATCTACCCACACGGTTTGGCAGCCAGCCTTTCCCAGCTTTGTCCTGAGGCAGTGGGGAGGAAAAACTACATTCCCTGTAAGTCAGCACAAAGCCCTTCCCACATGAAGGGCGAAGGATTGGGGAGGAGGTTTGCAGAACTGAGTAGAATGAAAGAATGTTAAAAATTCACATTTGTACTGACTCCAGATAACCCAGCATCTAAGTGTGTCACCAAAAAAAGGAACTCGTAGGTGATGAAATCAAAGATCCAGAGTGTAGCTTAGTGGTAAAGTGCTTACCTAACAGGTGCAAGGCCCTGGGTTCCATTCCTAGCACAACAGCAATAAATACAGATAGAGACATTCATTTGGGAGCTCTGGTGCCTATCTGTAATCCCAGCAGCCTTTAGGAGGCTGAGACAGGAGAATCATGAGTTTGATGCCAGCCTGGGCTACATAGCAAGGCCCTGTCTCAAAGCAAACACACACACAAACAAATACAAAGAATGATTTGGTGTGCTCAGATCATTGGTGTTCTGCCCTCTGCTCTGTTTTCAAAAGTTAAGGTATTCATAACATCACTTAAATTCTCCCAAGGGGAGAAAGTGAGGGAAGGGGTGATATTGTCCAAAAAGAAGTGTATTCTTTAGCTGACTCATGTAATTGTAACCCTTCTGCACATCAGCTTTATAATAAAAGTAATTATAAATAAATATATAACATTATATATATATATATATATATATATTCACGTATACACACACACATTCACATCATGCACAGAAATGAAGGGTGTAGAAGGAATAGAAGGCGTGCCTGAGCATGGGCTCTGCCCAGTCTTGCCCTGCCGAAGGGTGTGCTACTCTCTTCATAAAATGCCAGAACCATTCCATTAGCAGACAGAGCTTCTTCCCCGTGCCCGCCTCCGGTCTTGTCAGCTGCAGATTTGATCTACAGTATCTTTTGCAAACTTGGCGAAGGTTTTCCTTTTGTTGGTTTTTGGCAGTACTGAACTCACTCTTGCAAAGCAGGTGCTCTACCACCTGAGCCACCCCCAACTCTTTTATGCTTGAACGGATGTTTGGATAGGGTCTTGTTCTTTTTGCCTGAGTCCAGGTCTTTTTACTTGGGGCTAGCCCTAGACTAGAATCCGCCTACTTTTGGCATCTATATAGCTGGGATAATAGACGTATACCACCACACCCGGATTGTTCGTTGCAATGGCGTCTCACTAACTGTTTTCCCAGGCTGCTGATCCTTCTACCGATACCCTTAGAGCAGCTGGGCCCTTTCTATTTTGCCCTATAGACCTCTGGCTTATTTTCATTCCAAGCTAATTCTTGTCTCTTCTCATCTTTCCTCACCAAGTTAGGTGTTGACAGTTGTTGTAGTGTTGAATCTTTCTTCAATTGTTGAGTTCTGTGGGGAAATACTTATTCTAATGGCAATGGCTTACAGGAGAAGCTATTTGGTTTACAGGAATCATTGGATTTGTCTTCCTTTCCTTTCCCTGCTTCCTGGCTGCTGCAGAGTGAGCCGCTTTGCGCAACCCTGCCTTTACAGCACGACGCTCTGCCTCGCCGCAGGCCCACAAACAACAGCGCCGTCAACCATAGACTGAAAATTCTGACATCGGGAACCAAAATTAATTCTTCTTCCCTTCGGGTTGTTGTTGTTGTTTTGTTTTTTCAGTCGTGGAGCTTGAACTCAGGGTCTGGGCGCTGTCCCTGAGCTCTTTTGCTCAAAGCTAATGTTCTACCATTTTGAGCCATAGAACCACTTGTAGTTTTCTGGTGGTTCATTGGAGTTAAGAGTCTCAAAGACTTTCCTGCCCTGAACCATGGCTCTGAACCATGATCTTGAGATCTCAGCCTCCTGAGTACCTAGCATTATAGACGTGAGCCTCCAGCACCCGGCTCCCTCAGGTTTTTTTCACAACAACAACAACAACACACATGCAAAACAGAAAATAATAATTCTCTTACTATTTTCTTCTCATAGGGACACCTTGCGCCAGGTTTAGGGGGCCTGTGTCCATTTCCCCAAGCTGTATTTCTGCACTAGTGCAATAGAAAGTGACAGAAAGTTGATTTCTCTTCC